AATCTACTTTCGCATGAATCATTTAGGCTGATGTGCTCCCAAAGAGATCAGTAATTAGTCAGAAGAATTAGCAGTGGTCAGGTGCGTGACAACCATAAGAGTTGATTAACTCCAAGCACTTTTTCCTTCGTACCCCATGAAAGACAGTTTATGGGCTGGTGTTTGGTTCATTGGAGCTCTCGAACAAGGTGTTTGAGCACTTGGAGTTTTCCATCTTTGAAGTTTTCTCAGGATTGCCCTTCTGGCAATATTTGTTCAGCAAGCTCTGAAATCCAAAGCATTTCATCTCAGCATTTGCAGCGCTGCAGTCTCTAGTCCAGGTTAGCTATGCGCTAGGCGTCTCCGAAAGCAAGAAATCTCCACTGACTTTTGAAGCTATCAATGGTAATACGTTCCATGGTATGTTGACTTGGAAAAGCGCTGCCTGTTTTGTCTGTATGTCATGTGATATCAGCTTGTGTTACAAAAACCCTCGTAGTGTACATATTTCTGTGGAGAAAAAAACCAAGCCGTAAAAAGAGGGGGGTCGTACCGAACCCCCAAAAAGGGGGGGGGGTCGTACGGGCTCGACCAAAATCCCCAACCAGTGATGTGCCCTGTCTGCCAGGAGATTGGGGCTCTATAGATATGGACATAAAAGTAGTTGGGAGTAATGTTGTACAATTGTTAACCGTTTTCCCGCTTTTCGGCCTGACGATAATCTCGGTGAGTTTGTAACCTGCCAAGACTCTCCGCTGTACCCAGTGACGGGAGTGGTGTATTAGTTTGAGATGACCCTATAATTACGTCTTCGCACCTCCGCATACCTGCTAGAGGGTTAGCCCGCTTGACTGGTTACGCTAACTGGTGACCTCTCATCAAGTTACTGAAATACTGAGTGGGTAAGTAACCTATTATATAGCATTCGCTAAGTTTGTTTGGTGTGTGCGTGGTGTGTGTTTGACTGGAAATTTACGAATTTCTTTCAGTAGAAAGTTCGAATTGTTAAGTGATATGGGGATGAGACGGGAACATAGATAATGGGTGGAAGAAAGCGATAACAGCTGACATGAGGTCCTAGAAAGAAAGGGTCACCAGGTTCACAACTTGCGTTCATGGTTGATTTCAAGAGGGATTGGAAAT